GGAGATGTCCCTGCCTTTGGCAGGGGGTTGGACTCGATGGCCTTGAAAGGTCCCTTCCCACCCAAACCAGTCTGTGATTCCATCAAAAACAAAGTTTTACCTTCTTTTTCATTCACTTTTTGATCTGAATCTACATTTCAGCTTGGTTTTACAAGCAGGGTAGAATCCTTTTCTTGAAAAGAAGAAGAAAAGAGGAGTGAGGACAGAGAGCCAGAGCTCCTTACGGAAGTAGCTTCCTCCAGGAACCAGGACTCCACAGAAAATTCGAATGATCTGAAGCTAGCAAAAAAACTGTGGGATTCTTTAATTTGTGCAAGTGTTTAATTGCTGATTAAAAGCAAAGTGCCTCTGCTCCACGTGAAGGTCCGGCCAGGGATGCAGGTTGGCTGGGTGGCTACCACCTGGAAGCATCTCTGGTCTCCTCGCTGAGCTGATTTCACGCGTGGGGCATCCTACGAGCTGGCTGGGGCAGGGATGAAGGGCAGAGGCGAGATCCTGTCCCTTGGTTCGTGCTTTGGTTGGCTCTGGTTTTGGAACCTTGTTTCTGCCAGGGGACAGAGGTTTGGGGAAGAAGAAGCTGTGCAGAAGTATTCAGCCACCCTGAGCCTCCGTCCTTCATGCCGTGGGTTTTCTCACACACTGGGGACAGAAATAGGTCGTGGAGATCTGAGACTTCTCTGAGCAAGACTGGATGGCCTGAGCTGCTCCATCCCTCCAGCACTGTGTGTTTTCCAGATGTGGAGGAGAAATAAAATATCTGTGAAAGTAGGGACAGATTCCAGGTGCAAGTTCAGGTGCTCCAGAAAACCACTGGTAAGCACCCTGCTCCCACCACGTGTCCTTCGTTCCCACCTCTCTGTCCTCCAAGCTCTTCACAAACCCAACGAGCAACGCGAGAACTTGGCTGCTCCCGTTTTATCTCCGCTTCACGTCCGTTTGGGATGCTCACAGCTGCCTCTGTGCCCTTCTTCTCCGTCAGCCTCCAAAATGACCTCCCTGCAGGAAGAGGTGGAGTTGAGGAGATGTATTTCTGCCGTGTCTTGGATGTCCCTCGTTTGCTTTGGTTCTCTGCGTTTTGCAAACCTGAGCTTTAAAGAAATCCTGCTTGGTCGAGAAGTGACATGATTTGGAAGAGCTGAGACGTGCAGACGTCTGCGGGAGTTGAATTTTCTGCGTTTGATTCTCTCTGCGAGCATGGGTGTAGGAGGACGTTCTGCTTCTCAGGTCTCTGGGGTTGGGATTTGGTGGAAGGGATACGGGGGGAAGGAAGATGGCTGGTTTCCGTCTGAACATGAGGAAGAACTTCTTCCCTCTGAGGGTGATGGAGCCCTGGAACAGGCTGCCCAGGGAGGTTGTGGAGTCTCCTTCTCTGGAGATATTCCAGACCCGCCTGGACAAGATCCTGTGCAGCCTACTGTAGGTGACCCTGCTTCGGCAGGAGGGTTGGACTAGATGACCCACAGAGGTCCCTTCCAACCCCTACTATTCTGTGATTCTGTGATTCTGTGGTTAGTCCGTTATAAATTGTAATATTGGCGCCTGCTGCTCGTGGGACGCTTGTCATCATCAGCGTTGTCTGAGCATCATTTATTTCACCAGATGCCGCTGTGAAGGAGAAACAAGTGTATGGTGAATACCAACTCATCTGTCCCGGTGCTGCCGTGGGTCTGTAGGAAAGGGGAAAAAAGAGCGGCGAAGGTCAAGAAGGACACGTCTGCCACGGCGGGGAGCAAGAGCGGGGTCTCTTGGGGTC